TTTACTCTAGTAGATAGTTAAGGTAAATTGTTCAATTATTTTTAAATTTATATATATATATATTTGATGTTTAATCAAATAAGTATTAAAATTTACCGAGTCAGTGATAGTATATGTTTGACAGATGATTTTGTAAAAAAAACAAAACAAAAATGAAAGAAAGAAAGTATAGGCTTAAAATATTAAAGTAATACCAAATAACTCCAATAATTAATTTATATATTATTTTTTTTCTTAATTGAGTTAGATAAAAGTTGATTGACTTCAATTATTTGAAAATTAATTTTTATTTGATATTTGAATTGAATGAAACATATATATTACTTCAAATTGTATTGTACTCACAAATATATATATATATATACATGGACGGAACTACACTAATTGACCTCCCAAATCAAATTTTTTATGATTTTTTTAATATTAAAAATATTAATTTTTATGTATTTCTATACAATTTGCCCCCAGAAACTATCTAAATTCATATATAATTCAGTAATTATTATTTATTTAAATTTATTAGCTAAATATTAAATAAATTATAATATTTCCCCCAAATTATCTAAATTCATATATAATTAAGTAATTATTATTTATTTAAATTTATTAGCTAAATATTAAATAAATTATAATATTTTGCCTCCGAAACTTATATGCTAGTTTCGTCACTATGTATATATATATATTAAATATAATGAATGTTCCATGTAATATCTTTAGAAGAAAATTAAAAACCTATATAATTAAAATATTTTTAAAAAATCAAGGAAAGTAGATTTGTTCTTTTTAGTAGTTGACCTGTCGCGCGGTCAATCAAATATTTCACCTACTCCATAATCACAGTTTAATGTAATATAGGGGAATGGATCGTCTCCACAGGGATTGTGTGATTCACTCTTTCGTGTTCTAATGCAGTAAATAAAAGGGGATTTTTCTTTTATTATCTAATTAAAATAAAATAACAAAGCAATTAAATTAAAGGGGAACTAACTATCAAGGGGATATCTGGCTCAAGGGATGATGCAGTTATGACACTTGTGTTCTATCATTAATTCAATTAAATTAATTATTATTAAAGTATCAATAAATTGGTTATAGTTATCAATAAGCTCTGACAACCAATTTTTCCTTACGGTGTAGGTAATTAAGGTACGACCGTTAACTACCCCTAATTAAGCAAATAAACCTAAGTGTGCCCATAAGAATATTGCCTAACCGCATTCCAATCTAGAAAAACCCAATTCAAAACAATTACTATCTAAGAGAAGCAATTAGATTTGATTGTCTAACCCCCGGGAAGGAACTATTCAACTCGGTTGTCACCTATTCAAGTGCGAATACAATTACGGATATCCTACTTGAATTGACTTTAGATTATCAGACTAATTTAAATATCGGTACCAAAATATTCAATCAATCTAACAATCACAAACGCTATTCTCATAATTAGACGAATATTGATAATCAAAAAGAACTTTTATAAAGAAAATCAAGAATCTCCAAAACAAAAGAACCAAAACATTATCACCCCTCTCAAACCAGAAAAGTATCTACTCCATAATTAAATAACAAAGAACAAAAGAGAAAGATGAAGTCATAGTGGGAGGAGGAAATCTTCTCTGTCGATTTGCTCCTGCGCTATCTATGAATCTGTCAGTCTCTTGCTCCTGTGCGTTTCTGCCCTAGCCGTCCTCTCTTTTTTTGAAACGTGTGATCCCTCATTTTATTTAATGTTTGCCCTAATTATTTTGTAGATGGGCTTTTGGGCCTTTAATTAATTTTATTTATTTTTTCTGCCAATTATGCTAAATTTAATATTTGCCCTCTGCACATAGCAAATAAACAATTCGCATATAAATTAGGTAGAATCCAATCAAAATCACCCAATTATCGCATATGATATGAATATAAAACGCATGGGATTTCTAACTATCAATAGTAATTACTAACTTGGATATTTATTTTTTTGTTTGGCAAAATTGTCCATAATTTCCTTATGGTTTTGAAACTCAGCGTAAATTCTCCCTTTACTTTAAAAATTGCATGGTATCCCCTTAAACTTTAAAAAACGTTGCATGAAACCCCACCATTATGAAACTTTCCTCATGTGATAAGAAGATGATTTCCTATCTATATGTTTTGTATGGCAGAGAGGTTTTATGCAATATTTTTGAAAGTATAAGTGAGCGTCATGCAATTTTTTAAAGTAAAATGGAGATTTATGCTTGAGTTTCGAAACCACAAAGTTGTTTCATGCAATATTTTTTAAAGTATAAGGGGTACCATGCAATTTTTAAAGTAGAGGGAGAATTTACGCTGAGTTTCGAAACCACAATGGAGTTATGGGCAATTTTGCTTTCTTATTTTGTGGGAGTATTATATATATATATATTTTCTAATGGGCACAATGTAAGAGTAAAACAACAAATATTAGATTTTTTATTTTTTAAAAATTGCAGTTTGGATTTAATGTTTACTAAAGTAAATAATATAGTTTTATTGAAATTTGAAATGATTACATAGTAAAAAGTGAAAATTGAACTCTGTAGAAATGCATCAAACAATCTATATAGTTAATTTATAAAATTTTGACTTTACTGAGTTAGGTAGAGAATCAGAGACTTCAGCTATTTGTAAATTTATTTGTATTTGATGTTGGTATTGAATCAAACAAATATTAAAATATACTAAGTTAGAGTTACTAGACATATTAAAAATATTTTAAAAAATAAATGATAATAAAATAAAATAACCACAATGGTTAATATATATTTCCTCTCCGTCCAATTAGAAAGTATACATATTTTTATTTTGGGATGTCCATTTACAAAGTAAATATTTCATTAAATTCCTTATTTTTTTTCCACAAATACCCATACTTTATATCACATTATTACTTTTACACCGAAAAGTAAGAGTAAAAATGTCATAACACTATCTTTAACTACTCACTATAATTAAAATATTGTTAAATAGTGTGCGGAAAGTAATTTTATACTTTATATGTAGACGGATGGAGCAATAGTATATCTTTATTAAGTAAGTAAGAGTCGTGATTCAATTATTTGGACATTATTCGTATTGGATACTTGAATTGAATAATATAATCTAAAATATAGTGGATTAGTATTATTGAATGCTTAATGTAATATTTTTAAAAGGAAATTGAGAAATTATAGAATAACATATTGAAAAAAAATAATCAAACGTAATAAAATCAAATAATTCAATAGTTAATTTATATAATTTTTACTTTACTGGGATAGGTAAGAACTGACATGGTTCAATTATTTATAAGTTTTATTTGTATTATTTTATCTGAATTGAATCAAACAAAAAATTTTGAAATTTATATCAACCAATATCCACTTAATTGAAATTTTGGTGTTTTTTTTTTCTTAAACAATGGTTTAGATGTTATATTTTGTAAGAAATAATAGTGTATATTTACAAAACCAAACAGTAAATTTTTTTAAGTAATTATTAAAAAATTAATTAATTAAATTTTATTTTATATTATTTACAGAAAAAATTAAATTAAACAGTACAAATGTTCAAAAAAGAATTATCAAAAGAATAATTACTTGAATTTTTATTATTTACAAATAATTTTGATTGAATTAATTTTTTAAAAGAGACATCTGACAAATGACCAAAAATTTTATTAACTGAAAATATTCAAAAATATTCTTTATCTAAATTGAAAAAAAAAAAATCATAAAGCAAATATTCTTAACAATTATAAATAAATTCGATTTGATTCTATTATTGAAAATTAAAACAATATGAAAAAGATAAAAACCTCAATCAAAATATTTTGAACCAAACTCTCTAAATTAACCGAAACAAAAAAAAAAAAAAAAAAAAGGAAAAAAATCCAATTGATTTTTTATTATTTTTTAATATTTTGATATTTGAAATATTAGTTAAATGTAATATTTTATATGTAAAATAATTTTTTTAATGTGATAATTTTTTTCTTTCAAAAAATATGAAATAATGAAAAATTTACAAACTGTAGGAATGCATACTTTTTTGTATTTTTAAAATGAAATCTTTATTGAATTTTTTTATATAAAGAAATAAGATAGAATTTAGAAAGAAAAAAATTTCAAGATATTTACTTGTATGTTTTGAAGTTATTCATATATATTAAAATGTTTTAAAAATAATAAAGTTTCGTCTTAATTTAAATTTTTATTTAAATATTATTATAATATGATATTTTATAAAAAAAATATATTTTTATTATAAATGTGTCAAGTAAATTATGTTTTTTTATTTTTATTTAAAATATTAAAAGAATAAATTCAAAATCTTAAAAACATTTAAAATAGTAAAAAATTAAATATTTAATGTGTTATTTCAAGAGAGAAATGTAAGTGCTGAATATGATATAAATAAATAGATAGTAAGTAGTTGGTTTGTTTAGTTTTTGTTTTAAATTCAAATTAACACTATCTATTTTATACTTTTTTTTTAATATTTAAATTTAAATTCAGATCAAAATCAGATAAATTATTTTAAAATTAAATATTATTTTTGTCCGGCTATAAGTGTCATATTCATTCTTTGACATATTGATATTTTTATACAAAATAAATAAAAATATTTTTAATATTAAATATAATGACAGAAAAGATGAACGTAACTACAGAGACGGACAACTTAATAAAGTATTTAATGTGATGTTTTAAAATTATAAACAAAAAATAATATTGAACATATTATTTTAAATAAAAATATATTTTATTATTATTTTAATATTTAAAATAAGTATATAGAGCATTTATATGTTTTAAAAAATTAATAAATGTATAAGATAAAATTAAAAAGGTTTTAGGAAACAAATTTAGGTGAGATATTTTGGTATTAATTATAATAATAAGAAGAAAAGCTAGTAAGTACGTTGGATGGACAGTCAGTCTTCGTCGCTTCGCTCTCCTCCGGTTTTACGCCGAATGGCAGAGTGAACCGCCATAGCCTCCCCATTATATTCATCCATCTGCCCCCTCTCTGTACTCACGTCTCCTTCACCTTCTCCATTTCTGCACTTTAAATTTGCTGTGCTGTGCTCTGCTCTGCATGTGCCATTGCTCATCGTCTTCGCATTCAATTCCAATTCCAATGCCGGACGTGGACGTCGATGTCGATGCCGCCTCCCGTCTCTCCTCCTGCAACCACCATTAACATTAATGGTGCTTACTCTGCAGATTCCGCCATTGCTGCAGGAAATAGTAATACAATCCCTCAGGTAATACTACCATACACAAGCTTATAAGCATCATTGATTGATTGATTTATTTATTAATTGATTCACTGGTTTAATTTATATCATGCGCTCTCGAATCGAACGAGTGAAATCTAGGTTTTGTTCTCGTAATTTTGGGGATTTTAATTAATTTCAGGTTTGGTTTGAAATTTTTGTTTTCGTTAGGGTTTAGCCGCGAGCAATTTCTCGATAATGGCACCAGACAACAACAATTGGCTCTCCTTCTCCCTCTCCTCCATGGAAATGCTCGACGCTCCGCAGTCGCCGTTTCCGGCAACCGCCGCCGCCACCGATAATCGCGGTTACTCCACCGCCTTCGAAGATAACTTTTACGACGGTGCTGCTGCAGGTAGTATTGCCTAGTTTTGGAAGTTTCTGATTTGAATGCTGAGCTTGAAACAAATTCGAAACGTTTAAAATAAAAATAAAATAAAATCGAGACTTTATTGTATTTTTATTTTTTATATTTTATTTTTATTTTTGTGACTGTGAAAAACGACAAAGGAAACTATTGATTTATGGATTTCGTTCTTCTCCACTGCTTCATCTTTCTACTTCCGAACCACCAATTTTCATTAATGTCTGCAGTTATTTCTTTAATTTCAATATTTGTTTGTTAGTTTCATTTTCGCCTATTTATTTCCTCAGATTCGTGCCTATTTTTTCTGTATCTAACTCATCCTTCTTTTTCGTAATCGGAAAAGCTTGGGAGACTCAGAAATCGCAGGCAATGTACTCCGACGAAGCCGACAACGCCGCCGCCATCTACACCGCCTACATGCAGCCAACTCCGCCGAAGCTGGAGGATTTCTTCGCCTGCGGCGGCGGAGAATCGGCGGAGACTCAGGACTCGTCCTTGACTCACCTCTACGATTCCGCTGCTGCAGCGGCGGCTTACTTAGTCAATCCTGAGCCGCAAAACCTCCCAAGTATTACCGATTTCCAGGCGGCACCGGCCACTGCCGCCACCGCCCCCGCCGGCGGCTCCTTCTCGAATAACTCGAGCTCTGAGGTTGATGACTCCGCGTTGGTCGGAGTGCAGAATCAGTCGCCGCCGGTGGAATCGGCGGCCGAGTTCGCCGCTTTTCCAACTTCCGGCAACGAGAATAATATCAGCAATAAGACCCTCGTCGTTTGTACTGATTCAGAAAGCTGCAGGAAACTTGCTGATACATTTGGTCAAAGAACTTCCATTTACAGAGGGGTCACAAGGTAGCCATTAATATTACAATTTTATTACAATTATCATCGTTTTTAACATTTCATTACATCATTCAATTACAACTTTTTTATCATTTTCCTTTTACAATTTCTTTGCAGGCACAGATGGACAGGCAGATACGAAGCACATCTGTGGGACAACAGCTGCAGAAGAGAGGGGAAGGCAAGAAAGGGCCGTCAAGGTAAACAACACACACACACTTGCATATCTATCGATCTATCTATCTCCTTGTTTTTTCAGACATGATTTCGTTCTTTCTTTCTTTCAATCAGTTTTTTCTCACTGCAATGATTGATTGACTGCAAATAAATGTACAAAACTGTAGTTGTACTCTCACAACACAAAATTTGGTTCAATCTTCCACAGGATTTCCGATGATTTACATACATATATGTATGTATATGTGCCGCCACTTTTACTCAATTCTTATTTTCTGCAGATGTGTTGATGCCTCTACTTAATTGAAATGTTTGTCCATATGTCGTGGTCAGGGGCCTGTAATGCCCCACCCATACTCTGGTCCTCCAACGAAACAACCTTCTTTGTAGTAGGTGTGGGTGCAAAGGTCCCGACCGTGGGATCCACTTGTTTAGCGGTCTGGATTGTTTTGGGACCTCGAGTCCCTGGACTTCGTAGATACCGCATTACCTCACCTCGTCTGAAACCAGTGCCTGAAATTCTGAAATTTTATCAGTTTGCTTTTTTCTTTTGCTTTTTACCTTTTTTTTTCAAAAAATTTTCCTTGGACAAGGACTTGGAGTCTTGGACATGGACTAGGACTTTCAATGTGTTTTGACTAAGTTTTGAACGAACTGCTGCCCACCTAATTTTACGGGAGTTTTAACATACATAAAATGCATGTAAGAAAATGAATTGAGTTGAACGTTCATGTCTGAAATCTGCTTTAACGAGGCTTCGATTTGTCTTACAATGATCATTTGCTTGTGTTTTCGTATCTAATTTCTGCTCTAATTTGTGTGGTTTTATTATGTCTTGTTTGCATGAATTGGCGTCGTCGTCGATTTCGCCGCAAATTTGCAGTGTATTTGGGTGAGTAATGTTCTTCTTACCATAACTTCAATGTTGTTTGTTCTCATTTCGATTTGAACTATGTTATAATGCAATGTAATGATCTATGGGATTGTTGAGCTCACTCAGGTGGATACGATCAGGAAGATAAGGCGGCGCGAGCCTACGATTTGGCTGCTCTGAAGTACTGGGGAGCGAGTGCGACGACTAACTTCCCTGTAAGATAAATCCTCGCCTCGACATAAATTGTCTTGACGTTATTCGAATTCAAATACAATGTGTAATAAGAGATTTTGCATTTTTAGATTGCCAACTATCCGAAAGAGCTCGAGGAGATGAAAAATATGACGAAACAAGAATTCATTGCATCGCTTCGAAGGTATATCGAATCTTCAGTTTATGAAAATTGTTCTATGATCGTCGTTCCTCACAAGCCTTACCCATATTGTCTCTGACAGGAAAAGTAGCGGCTTCTCTCGGGGTGCATCCATTTACCGGGGTGTGACGAGGTTTGAAACTAACATATTGACAACCTTAAAATTTCCATCAATACGATGGATGGTCGGGTTTCAGATTATCCTGATGATGTGTGGTCTTTTTGTTCTTTTTCTATTTTAGGCATCATCAGCAAGGTCGGTGGCAAGCGAGGATTGGCCGTGTTGCCGGGAACAAAGATCTCTACCTGGGGACATTCGGTATGCATATGTACTATAGCACCGTGCAACGAAGTTATTACATCATAAATAAATTCGTTCGATTCGATATTTATTAATAATCCTTGTCTGCACGTACGGTGGCAGCGACTGAGGAAGAGGCGGCAGAGGCGTACGACATTGCTGCAATAAAGTTCAGGGGAATAAACGCGGTTACCAACTTTGAAATGAACCGTTACGACATTGAAGCCATTGCAAGAAGCCCTCTCCCGATAGGCGGAATGGGAAAGCGTCTGAGGCTCGCGGTCGAGGCTGAAGAAAAGCCTTCGTCTAATTTGCCCCTGCCTCTGCCTCTGCCTCTGCCTCTGATGAATACTACTGCTACTACTGCATTTCAAGCACCGTACAATCCCAATGGCATTGGCTTTCCAGGCATGGGCATGGGAATTCAGACATTCTCGAACTTGAACAACAACCTTCCTTACGGAATGCCCTTCGATGCTTCAGCTTCGGCTTCTGCTCCATTTTATCATCACAACCTCTTCCAGCAGAGCGGTGCTGTGGCGTCTGGATCGATTGCGAATCCGATGAATCCTATCAGTCTTGTCCCGCGCGGGAGCGAGTACTTGGGCTGGCCTAATCCTCGCCAGCCGTATTGACGGTTCCGATCGTCGTTGGATATTGGGAACCTGGCTGGTTAGAGGGGTGGATTGGGGGGAGGGGGGTGTAAGTAAGGCTGGCTGTTTGTTTGTTCGCTAGTTTGTTTTATCGGATGTTATGTTGTAATATGGAACTTTGCAGCAACTATAAGATAAATGAGGGAAGGTAGCATTGGGGATGGATTAATTTTCAAGTGGTTTTCCATCCTCTTTGTTGTCTCTCTCTCAAAATATATATCAAATTTTGCTGTTTTCAATATATCTATCATCTCAATTTGAACAATGACTACTTGAGGGTCACTAATTCATCCGGATTAAACAAATACAAAACCAATCATACAACACCTTCCTTATTGATTGGGCCTCCACTTAATTAACCCCTCTCCTCTCCTCTCCTCTCCTAATATCATTCTTTTATCTTGTTTTCTTCTTCTAATCTTGTATGCTCTACCAAATACTCAACAAACTTGTCTACATATTTGCCATGCAATTCACTATCACCAAACACTTTACTCACCTCTTTCGCCTTCTCCCTTAAATCTCTTCCTTTATTGTTGTCGCTCATCACAACCTTTACCGACTCCGCCACCGACTCTCTTGTGTATGCACCGTTCTCCTTGTCCCTCGCAACTTCATACGCTAATCCCTTATGGACAATGATCCTAGAATTCAACCCTTGATCCACTAGAAACGGCAATGTGATCAAGGGATGTCCGCACATTAGGCCTTCCACGATGGAACTCCATCCACAGTGAGTCAAGAATCCGCCCACAGAGCCGTGGCTCAATATTTTCAATTGTGGGGACCAACTCTTCCACACAATCCCCCGGCCCATCACTCTTTCCTCGAACCCGTTTGGGAGCACTGCCGAGTCAGTAATCCTACGCAGAGCCCAAAAGAATGGAACATTGGATAACTCGAGGCCGTGAGCCAACTCAGTGAGTTGTTCCCGAGTTAGGGTCACCTCGCTCCCGAATGCCACGTAGACTACCGATCCTTTTTCTTTCCGATCCAACCAACTCTTGATCGAAATCCATGTCCTATCATCATCGCCGGCGGAATCTCGATTGTCTACTTGCGGCGGCATTAGGCCTAGCGGTATGACTTTCCGGTGGTGAAGCTCCTCCAGCAGCGGCAGCCAATCAGGTTCGAACTCGTGGCAATGCCGGATAACAATGGCGTCGCAGCCGATTACAATCTTGCCGCACCTATATTGATCGGAAAACCCGGACTCGGCATTTTGACCCGACCCAACAACCCAATTAGCTTCGAACCGGCGGTAGGCCAGCGAAGTGTCGAATTTGATCCATCTCGGAGGAACCATGAAGTCCTCGGGCCGGGTCCTGTAGTCCGACCCGATAACCAGATCCTGGGCGGACCCGAAGAAGGACAGGAACCAGGCGTTGAAGATGAAGAATAAGGCGCTCGGAATCCCAAGCCGGCCGGTCACCGCCGGCAGCCAGTGCGGCAAGAAGTCGGTGATGACCCAGTCGGGGACGGCGGCCTCGAGGAAGCGGATGACCGCGGGCTCGAGGCCGTCGAAGGCCTTCTTGAGGAAGCCCATCTGGGTGGCCCCCTCGATGTCCATGGTGGCCTCGGCGCCGGCGGGGAGGCCGGGGACGGAAGGGAGAGGGATTGCGACGAAGGAGATGGAGGAGGAATATTCCGGCGGGAGTTTGGGGAGGCGTTGGATATTCCGGGGAGTGGTGAGGAAGGAGATGGTGTGTCCTTTTCGGGCAATGTGCTTGGCGAGGTCGAGGTAAGGCATGATGTGCCCGAAGGCGAGCCATGGGAACATGGCTACGTGGAGGGGTTTGGCATTGGCAGCCGCCATGGATGGATCGGATCGGATCAGCTTCAATTGAATTTAATTGAATTGAAGAAGAATGGTTGAGACTTGAGAGTGGAAACTAATATGTGTTAGGGTTAAGCTAATTAATCGATATTGGAGAGTTGGTGAAATTAATAAATCACTGTTAAATAAAATAATTTTTTACAAGAATTGTGAAGTTGAATAAATCTAGATCACATTTTCAAATCCAATGCCATTAGTTTGCGTGTCTTTGCTTTTTACTTTGAATTTAAGATCAAATCGGTTTGTTTTTATATATATATTTGGTTAAATTGGTTCTTTTTTGGAATTCGATTGTTCATTTCAAATTCGTATTTCAATTTCTTGCTGTTTATAAATTCTGTGTTACTCGAATTTAATTTGAATTTTCTCCTATTTCGATTTCTACAATTCAATATTGATTGTTTATGGATTTAGCCACTATAACTATGGATTCGATTATAATTCTTTTTGTAAGTAAAAAATATCCAAAACAATAAACATACACACCATTTTATTTAATGGGGCATGGCTCATATCACTTTACGCACCTTTTTTTACAAAGATTGGTGTTGTTGATTGAATATTTAATTTCCACCATTTTTTTTGTGAGAATTCAATGAACAAGTGCAGATCCAATCTCAATTTTTAATATGAAAATTCTTCAAAGACGTACGATAATCTCTTTAAACCAAAAAATAAAAAATAAAAATGAAAATATTCCCATGAAAATCAACCGCTTTTTTTCTCTTAAAGAATTGTCTACAAACCTACATACAACAGCCATGGATATTACATGCTTTATAATTACAAAAAAAAAAAAAAAAGAAAATTAATTAGTACCAACTCTTTGTAAATTAATCCACCACTTAATTCACGTGATCAACTGAAATAATACGGCCGCTAAGATTTCACCATCCTTAGTCTTACTAATTAAGGATTTGTTTATTTGTTTTTTATTATATTAATATATAATACAAATCAAAAGAAAAAAATAAAAATAAAAACACCTCTATCAGTCTCTCATAATTAATACAAATAAAATAATGTATAAATATAAAAATATTATTAATTTTAAATATAATTGACACATAAATGATACACAAAGAAAAGAAATCCTAAAACAAGTATGTTTCGGTTAGGATTTAGTAGTAAACTCATTTGGTTTTCTTTTTTTTTTTCAATATTTATATTATAAAATATCATATATTTTTCTTTACAAATATTATTTTTTAAAACTATTTTATTTCAAAATATATTTACATTCAATGTAAAATTTAAAATATATCACTATTTTATTTTATAATATATCAATTGCATTTCAAAGACAATTTAATAAATAATGTAATGAGGTAACTCTCACACATAAAATATTAACATTTATTAATTCACGTAACAAAAATTTATAGATATATTCATTGTAGAGCACACACATCATATCAAGATCAAAATTCAAACTTATTTTAATTAGATTTTTATTATTAGGCCACTCCCCCTATCAAACTTTCCACCATTCTTCTTCGATCAATTCAAGCTCCATCCATGGCGGCGACGAAACCCCTCCACGTAGCTATGTTCCCATGGCTCGCCTTCGGACACATCATGCCTTACCTCGACCTCGCCAAACTCATCGCCGGAAAAGGACACACCATCTCCTTCCTCACCACTCCCCGCAACATCCAACGCCTCCCCAAACTCCCGCCGGAATATTCCTCCTCCATCTCCTTCGTCGCAATCTCTCCCCCATCCGTCTCCGGCCTCCCCGCCGGCGCCGAAGCCACCATGGACATCCAGGGCGCCACTCAGATGGGCCTCCTCAAGAAAGCCTTCGACGGCCTCGAACCCGCCGTCGTCGGCTTCCTCGAGGCCGCCGTCCCCGACTGGATCATCACCGACTTCGCGCCGCACTGGCTGCCGCCGGCGACCGGCCGGCTGGGAATTTCCAGCGCGTTTTTCTTCATCATGAACGCCTGGTTCCTGTCCTTCTTCGGGGCCGCCGAGGATCTGGTTAGCGGGTCGGATTACAGGACCCGACCCGAGGAGTTCATGGTCCCTCCGAGATGGATCAAATTTGACACTCCGCTGGCCTACCGCCGGTTTGAAGCTAATTGGGTCGTTGGGACGGGTCAGAACGACGAATCCGGGTTTTCCGATCATTACCGGCTCGGCAAGATCATACTAGGCGCCGACGCTATCCTTATCCGGCATTGCCGTGAATTCGAACCCGATTGGCTGCCGTTGCTGGAGAAGCTCCACCACCGGAAAGTCGTGCCAATAGGCCTAATGCCACCGGACAACACCGTCAGCGGCGGCGACGAGGCATGGATTCCGATCAAAAGTTGGTTGGATCGGAAAGAAAAAAGATCGGTAGTGTATGTGGCATTCGGGAGTGAAGTGACTCCGAGTGAGGATCAAATCGCTGAGTTGGCTCACGGCCTCGAGTTGTCGAATGTTCCATTCTTTTGGGTTCTAAGAAGGATTACTGACTCGGAAGCGCTTCCGAACGGGTTTGAGGAGAGAGTGATGGGCCGGGGAATTGTGTGGAAGAGTTGGGCCCCACAATTGAAGATATTGGGCCACGACTCGGTGGGTGGGTTCTTGACGCACTGTGGATGGAGTTCGATCGTGGAAGGCCTAATGTGCGGGCATCCCTTGATTACATTGCCATTTCTAGTGGATCAAGGGTTGAATTCGAGGATCATTGTGGATAATGGATTAGGGTTTGAAGTGGCGAGGAATGAGGAAGACGGTGAGTATACAAGGGAATCGGTGGCGGAGTCGGTGAAGGTTGCGATGAGAGACGAGAATAAAGGAAGAAAGTTAAGGGAAAGAGCTAAAGAGGTGAGTAAAGTGTTTGGGGATAGGGAATTGCATAGCAAATATGTAGACAAGTTTGTTGAGTATTTACAAGAAGAAAACTTAAGGAAGAATATAATGATATTAGGAGATGTGTGTGAAGCCAAATGAAATGATTGTGATGAATTTGGGACGTGGTATTAGTAGGGGTCCAATGAATAATGTTTGTTGCATGATGATTGAAATTACTCTTCAAATCCAAGAAAACATACTAGACATATGTGGCAAATAAGGCTCCAAGATATTGGAGGTTTAAACTGATTGGTATTGTATTACGTTAGGTTGAAAGACTATGCAAAGTAAGTTTTGACAGACAAAATTTGTAGCTGTCAGAAGCTTGAACATCATGACCTCACGATAATGAATCAATTTCCTCACCAACAAGCTCTTCACACGATGGCCTAATATATTTTTTAATAAATTTCACACAATCAATGCCTTAAAAGAATTTTATTTGAATAAATTGCATATATATTCGACATATATATGTTAATATATTTGCATAAAATACCCATGTCATAAAAAACCCTACCTTGCATTATGAAAAAATTACACATTCCCCATAAATAATAACATTGTAATTAACCTACAATTTTCATCTAAATACATATGCTACTCTAAAATTCTTGGCTATTGAAGTTTTAAAAAATATCCGAATTTGATTAGTTTCAAGATATGATTCATTAGTTAAGAAGATATTATAGAGTTCATTTATTTGAAGCATGAAACATGACAGAAATGATAATTAATATTTTATGTCTTGTAATGCATCCAGAAGAAGCCAAACTGGGAAGAATAATGCATTGACGATCCTGCCTGACGCTGACGCCACCATTTGCAATCAAAACTAGACTCAAAATCGAAATTTTGGAATCTAATCATGTTATATCATATCTTTTTTAAATTTTACATTATTTTTAAATAAAAAAATATATTATATTTGTACTTATTTACTGTTGACTTTTCTTAAAAACTAGTGTGTTCATAACAAGTTTAGTAGTTGTTTTTTTTCTCCACACATTTACTTCTAGAATCCAAACTTTACCTCTATATTAGAACATGGCAACCACTATAGCCTATAGGTCTTGGCAGTTTAGAGCATATACAATAAAGATGATCAGATCTCTATTTCTATTGGGAGCTTTCTTCGATCCCTGCCAAATGGAAAATACGTGCAATAGTTCAAATGTTCAAGTTGAAAAATTGATGCAGTCATTTGTTCTATTCTTGTAAAATACATTGTGAATTTAGAGTTGTCATTGTACAATTTTTTTCCAACAATATAGAAGCTTGGATACACCAGCTTCGTACCTTGCATTGAGACTTTTTTTACATGAGTAAAGTACATGCTTTAATAGTTGAAATTGAATTTGAAGGTTATTTGATATTAAAAAAAAAAAAATCAATTTCTATGAAATACTAATTTAATATTATTTTTACAAAATATTTAAGTAAAATATTATTATAAACATGTTATAAATAAAGAGATACTCAATCAAAGACTCGTAAGAAACACTGACAAAGATCAATAAAAGTATAATACGAATCTGAGCACCCACATGTCCAACTGTGCATTCCAAAATTTATACCAATCTAAAAGAAAAAAAAAAATGCAAACCAGTCTCTATCTAAAACAAAAGATGATTTAAATTTTAAAAATAAAAACAATAATAGATATGTAATACTATACTCGTTTTATAAAAATATGTTCATCTTTTTATATTTAAAAATAAAAAGTAAACATACTTTCGAAAGACAAGAAATATAAAAATTAACGTTAATATAATTTATTGTTTCAAAAAGTATTCGTTATAAATAATACTAAAAATTAATATATATATATATATATGTAAATAAAATAAACTAAAATAAAATAAAATAACAAAATAAATCTCTCAATATCTCTAGACTACTTCGCAACTAACAAAAATCACGTGCACCAACAACCATGACCCACGTGGCAAATTTTAATAATCTAACGGCCTCGGTTTCACAACAATCAGGGTATGGATGAAGGTTTTTATTAAATTTTATAATATAATTCCTTAATTTTTTTATTATCAAATCAAATTAAATATTTATTTTTTATATTAATTTAAATTTAAATTTAAAATATTATATTAATATTTATTTCTACCGTATTAAATGATCATTTAATTTAATTTAATTTAATTTTTATTATTTTTAATCTCAAGCTTATACATTGAATTTTGTTTTGTTGACGCTCTAATTGTGGCGTATTGGCGTGTGTTATGAAGAGGTTTAGTTTTAAATAAAAATTTTTCTAATTTTGTAGTTATAGTTTTTAATAAATAAAGATATATTTAGAGAAATTTAAAATTGACTTTCTTGTCACATAAACTTATATTTATCATATTTAAATATTCTTTTAATCCAATTATTTTTTATATAAATTACAAAAATATTATTTAAACGTATCAAACTCTTAATACACGTGAGATTAGTGTAATTGAAGAGTAAAAAATAATCAAAAGTATCCGTGTATACTTCGGGTGTGTTTGTTTGGAGGTTTGGATTTTCAGATGAATTTGAATAGTAAAAACTTTGAATTTGAATAGTTATATGATGTGATATAAATAGATGTTGATGTGATATTTTGAATATAAAATTGATTTTTAGTATAATATAAAAAATAAAAAATAAATATTTAATTTAATATTTAAAAAAAAAAAAATTAGATAAATAATGTAAATCCAATCCAATCCCCCTTACAAACACACCCTTCAATCAGTAGTTGCCGTAGATAAAATAATAATAATAATACCTCTCTCTCTCTACGTACCCTAAATACAATCGACCTCTCTTCTCTCTCTACGTACCCTTCTTCTTCTTCGAAGTTCAGCGTCTTCAAGCTCCATCCATGGCTGCCAAACCCCTCCACATTGCTATGTTTCCATGGCTCGCCTTCGGACACATCATGCCGTACCTCGACCTCGCCAAACTCATTGCCGGAAAAGGACACACCATCTCCTTCCTCACCACTCCCCGGAATATCCAGCGCCTCCCCAAACTCCCGCCGGAATATTCCTCCTCCATCTCCTTCGTCGCAATCCCTCTCCCTTCCGTCCCCGGCCTCCCCGCCGGCGCCGAGGCCACCATGGACATCCAGGGCGCCACAGAAATGGGCCTCCTCAAGAAGGCCTTCGACGGCCTCGAACCCGCCGTCGTCCGCTTCCTCGAGGCCGCCGTCCCCGACTGGATCATCACCGACTTCGCGCCGTACTGGCTGCCGCCGGCGACCGCCCGGCTGGGAATTTCCAGCGCCTTCTTCTTCATCATCAACGCCTGGTTCCTGTCCTTCTTCGGGGCCGCCGAAGATCTGGTTAGCGGGTCAGATTACAGGACCCGACCCGAGGACTTCATGGTCCCTCCGAGATGGATCAAATTCGACACGCGGCTGGCCTACCGCCGGTTCGAAGCTAATTGGGCCGTCGGGACGGGTCAAAACGACGAATCCGGGCTTTCCGATCATTACCGCGTCGGCAAGACTATAATCGGCGGCGACGCCATTCTAATCCGGCATTGCCACGAGTTCGAACCCGATTGGCTGCCGCTGCTGGAAGAGCTCCACCACCGGAGAGTCGTACCGCTAGGCCTAATGCCCCCACAAGTGGACTCTGCCGGCGATGACGACGAGGCATGGATTCCGATCAAAAGTTGGCTGGATCGGAAAGAAAAAGGATCGGTAGTCTACGTGGCATTCGGGAGCGAGGTGACCCTAACTCGGGAACAACTCACTGAGTTGGCTCACGGCCTCGAGTTATCCAATGTTCCATTCTTTTGGGCTCTGCGTAGGATTACTGACTCGGCAGTGCTCCCAAACGGGTTCGAGGAAAGAGTGATGGGCCGGGGGATTGTGTGGAAGAGTTGGGCCCCACAATTGAAAATATTGAGCCACGGCTCGGTGGGCGGATTCTTGACTCACTGTGGGTGGAGTTCGATCGTGGAAGGCCTAATGTGCGGACATCCCTTGATTACATTGCCGTTTCTAGTGGATCAAGGGTTGAATTCTAGGATCATTGTCGATAAGGGATTAGCGTATGAAGTTGCGAGGGACGAGGAGAACGGTGCGTACACAAGAGAGTCGGTGGCCGAGTCGATGAGGGCCGTGATGAGAGATGACAAAGGAGGAAAGTTGAGGGAGAGAGCTAAAGAGGTGAGTAAAGTGTTTGGTGATAGGGAATTGCATAGCAAATATATAGACAAGTTTGTGGAGTATTTGGTAGATCATACAAGAGAGAAAATGTTAGGACATGAGGATGATGCCAATTGATGATAGCCATGAATTGAATAATAATGTGTTGTATGATTTGCATTGTCATTTACATCTATTGGCATGTAATTTCCTTTGTGCTTGTTTGTTACCTTTAGTTTTAAGTTTACCCTAGCATGAAAATGTATGAAAGTAGTACGAGGAATTATATTTTATGTATTTTGTTGATTTTCATTGCTATGTTTTTTTTTTTTTTTTTTTGTTAATCTTATATTATACTAATATTAATTAAAATATTCCCTCGGCCCCAAACAAGTTGCTACATTTAAGTTGGACACGGGATGTTTGGTAAAAAATATTAAGTAAAATAATTTAGAAATATTGCAAGATATCTGGGACATATAAAAAAAAAAAAAAAAAGTTAGCACGGTTGTTTGGGCAGAGGGGTAAACATTACGCATACCGGTGATTGAACGGTAGAGCAGGCAGGATCGCTATCCCAGATTCTGACCCTGTCCGTTGTGCCTATGTACAGTGGGTGTTGGAAAAGTCCGTAAGTTAATATTAATATCGAACTTATTTTAATAGATTATTTTGATATTCTTAAAATATAATAAATTTTCAACAGCAGATGTATGTATATAGATACACCTATACATGTATAAAGGCAGGCGACTTAATATTAATGAATATATATATATATTGAGGTTTTAAATCTTATTTTGATATATGTGCATAATTAATTCAGCATAGGGTGAATTAATACTAACAATTAATTAAACAAAAATAGTTTAGTCAATTTAAACATTTTATTTGAATAGGTAAATAATTAAATTCAGGATCGTGTATTGGAGTACAATAAATTTGTTCAAATTGTGTTTCTACATTCTTGCAAGAAAAACCACGCAGCATATCATATCAAACACGTGACCAATTAAAATCATCAGCGGTTCAGATTTCACCATCATTGCATGCCTCATCATTAATTAATCAAATTCGACACCCGGCTGGCCCACCGCCGGTTCGAAGATAATTGGGCCATCGGGGCGGGTCAGAATGACAAATCCGGTCTATCCGACCATTACCGGGCAGGCAAGAGTCTAATCGGAAGCGACGTCATTCTAATTAGGCACTGCCACGAGTTCGATCCTGATTGGCTGCCACTGTTGTACGATTGCCATGTCGTTTCGTTTTACTCCATTTACTACTGTATATGTATGGAAGGACAGTTTCTTGTTTCCGTTCAAGTGCAATGATTAGGTTTTATTTTTATACATATTTTTAAAAATCGTATACACTATTTAGCCAAAGCATTTTCTTAAAACAATAAAGTTATCCTCCCTCATTTCTAAATACTTTGCAATATTTTTAAATTTAAAAATAATTAATAATATTTATATACATATATTAATACACTTTCACTTTATCACATTACATAACTCAAATAAAAAAATAAATAATCATTTTTCTCTTCAATCACATCACTTAATATCCAAATTTTCTTAAATTACTATACTTAATACTCCCTACCTAAATTCCTATATCAAAACACAAATGTTGCACAGGGAGTATAACATAGATATATATATATATATATATATCCTGACAAAATATTATATGATATCAAGGGATGTTATGACAACAAAAGATCGATGAAACATAGTACATCATCAAGTTCAACGGAATTGACCATTCGGGTGCCTCACATTACATAGCAGGAATGTCCAGTTCAAGTACACGTACCTACAGCAAGGTATAAAGTATGAAAGCTCTAAGAAGGTGACAAATCACCTTAAAGCTACTAATAAGTAATAATGAGACATTACTACCAAAAAAATTCAAAATACGACTCCTTTATACCAAACAAGAACACCTACTTAAGTGTAAATTTACACTTCAGCTCATGTTTGCATACTTGATGCAATTATTCTGAAGTTTGTCGCAGGCAACCGTCACAAATATCAATGATATGTTGTTACATGCAATGGAAATGAATTTTGTAAGATTTTCATATAAGTTAATCCACTTGTGTGTGTATCTATCATCATCGTCGTCGTCATCATCATCTACCAATTTAGTATAGACCGTGTACAAAGAAATCGATTACCATATGATGAGCTATCAAACTGCATAATTCAAGGCTTTCTGCTTCCCGGAAATCTAAAGATGGTGGCAATTGCAGCAAAAAATGACCTGAAGTTGCCAAACTGCAGCCAAATAATCAACAAGCCACTACTGCGTGCACCTGACAAGGAAGAAAATAATAAGTAAATGTAAAAGGATGTTATTGACTAAGTCATTTCATTGTTGATGAATTAATTACCTTCATCTTCAATGGAAGGTCCAAAACTGAAATGCGTCAACTGCTGTTGCTTGTTTTTCCACCTTAGCACTCTTCTGCTTTCAAATGATGTAAACCAATTATATATATACACAGACATGATATACATATACATACATGGAAACATAGTCCATTAGTATGTGTGCAAATCTCAGCAAACCCACAAAGTATTCGTCAAGATGATTCATCTCAAGAATATTAAAGAAAGAAGAACAACGAGTATAGAAATTCCCCAATAGCATATAACAAGGTTATCTGTGCAGGAAGCAAGTTTGGGGTTCGGCAAAGGCTTCTGTAATTCTTGGTAGACTTAATGCAATGGAAAAGGGGCACTTCCGGACAACATCCCAGTTTCTCACATAAACTGTCTTTTTCTTTCTTTTTTCCCTTTGAATTCTTTGAATTCTTATATTAAAGTTATTTTCTTAGTTTTATGTTTTATAAATTTTTTGATTAAATACATGAATTATTAATATTACTTTCTTTGAAAATGTGTTATGTTAATTACATGTATTGTATCATGATAGATCTGCACCATGGCATGACACAAGCTTTTCATGGCTACCGTGTTCCATTTACAACCATGACCAAAGCTCAAATTATGACACATAATGTGCGGCTCATTCAGAAGGTCTGGTCTTTGAAAAGTCGAATTCACTATATCCCAAATCTTCAAAAGAACAAGAATTAATGCAGGCTTTTAATCAACTATATTCTGTCTTTTGTATTGTAACCATTAGCCGATGCAAGAAAACTAGAGGATGTAAGATAAGGTATCTTTTATAATCTACTGGCATAATTGATTTTTCTTCAACCGTGGGAAATTTTTACACAATGCAAAAGTCTAAAATGTTTATTGACACGAATCTTCTGTATAGAAGTAATTACCTTATGGCATTGCTTCCGTGTTTGATCAAGAATATAGAAGCGAATACAAATCTCTTTATCAGCAAGGAGGGATGGCACAATAAGCTGTGCCGATATTTATGTTCTCCCCTGCAAATAAAAATTGAATTCATTGATCAAGCAATTTTCCTGGAATAATAAGTCAATATCCTGTCGAAAATATCATATTCTTTTATTCATTCATACTTCGGGTAGAATGAAAAGATGGCATGGTAGAGGAGTCCATATGCTACTGAGTCAAGCTGAAAATTATAATGCAATAGATGGTGCTTGGATAGATTATCTAAAACTCTACCCATGTAATGAAAAACTAGTGTGCGTAGCTCCTACATTTAATTTATACTTCAAATCACAATTTGAAAAAATTGGAATGCTATAAATGTTGTCATGATGAACTAAAACATGAGTTGTGGCTGCTAGAAATTAAAGTTATTTTGTAACTATTTTTGTGTTAAAAATCATCCTTAAGTTGCATTTGCCTCAAACTGAAAACTATCATCACAAGGGTGTCCATACTTTCAAGCTACTTCACATTTATGAAACTGACTTGCACAGAAACCTCACTTCACTTTTATTCAGAAAAAAGATATGCATATAATTTAGAATAATTCAACAGGTATGCAGCAGCATTGCAGTGTATCCAGCAGACAGCTAAGCAATTTCAAAATAAAGAAATCAAAGGCAGCTAACAAAGAAAGCAGTTCAAGGAATACGAACAACATATGCATACGCAGGTCCTTAAATATAGAAATATGAAATTAGATTGAAAGGAAGTAGAACTTTACCTGACTCACATTTGATTAGGATGTACTCTGGTCTCTGTCCTGACCCTTTTTGACCGATAACTAAAAGTCATCAACAGCATTATGGCAAAGGGTAGCAGCAGATCTACAGAACCAGCATACAAAAGTGATAAAAGGCAGAGACATCTGTTCGGGCAACCCAAAGCCCTAGACTTGGTCCGAACTCAGAGCAAAAGCCACACACTCACATGCAGTTCCATCAGCTCTATGTGCCATGACTTTCATCAAGAATCCCCTGTACTAACATCACATGAGTTTGAGAAGAAACTGTGCAACCATCTTTTTCCATGAGACTGACCAGCTCAGAGCACTGAGTAACTAAGCCCCGTTTCAGCAAGCCATCGATTAAAACTTTCCAAGCAACTTCATCATAATTGTAACCAGAGTGAAGTAGCCTAAAGAAGGTTGTCTTAGCCTTCTCATCATTCCCTGTGATGTACAACCCACAAACAAGCTGCTTGTAACATTTTATTTCAGGTACAAATCCAAGTTTGAGCATGGCATCGAGTAAATTCATCCCTTTCTCATACAATTTCTTGTTACAGCAACAAATTACTAGTTTGTTATATGTTTCTTCATCAGGAAACTTCCCATGTTGTTTCATATGATCCACCAACTTCCAGGATTCTTCCAGACGCCCTTCTCTGCAGAGTCCAGTAATGAGTGCAGCATAAGTTTTTACACTAGGTGGGCACCCGTGCTCTTCCATTTTTCGAAAGAGCTCAACTGCTGTATCATATTCCATAATTTTCCAGACATCGCCAATATTAATGGAGCCATTACTGTGCTCCTCATGCCCTGCATCTCCACTGATTAGTTTCTTCTGTGACAGATGCTTTACTAAGACTGAATAGGTATAAGAAGATGGCTCCTGCCCAGCATCAACCATAGACTTGAATGCATCGAAAGCCATATCTAAAAATCCCAAACGCCCGTATCCATCAATTAGAACTGTGTGAGCAATCATATCTGGTTGGAGCCCACCCTGTTTGATCTTAGCCATCACGTCCTCCACCTTCTTCAACATTCCACAGTTGAAATAAGCAAGAAGGAATGAAGTGTACGTGCATACATCAGGGCTATGTCCCTGAGTGATCATATCATTCAAAACCCTATTAGCACCATCAAAGTCAAACTCTTTTAACATATGGTCAATGAGCATGGAGTAAGAAACAACTGTTGGTTTCACTCCATCCTCAACCATTCTCTCAATAAGTTTTAAAGCCTCAGGTACTTTTCGCACTTTGCAAAATCCCTTAATTAGCACGTCGTAAGTGTATGAATTTGGAAGGCACCCTTCTGCAGGCATTCTTTCAAACAATGCTAGGGCAGAGTCAATTTTGTCCACATTACAATATCCATCAATCAGTGTCGTATAGATAATCTCATTTACCTTTACGCCCTTCTCTTTGAGAGATTCAACTAAATCATGTGCCTTGTCAATGCTACCCTTTTCACATAATGTATTTATGATAGGCCCATATGTTAACTGATCAGGAACGACATGGCTCTTCTCCATTAACTTGATGACACGAAGAGCATTGTCTGTATCCCCTTCAACACATTGTCCATACACTAAAAGGTTAAAAGTGACAATATCTGGAGAAAGCTTCTGCTCAAGCATCTTATCGAGAAGAGCCATTGCCTTGTGCACTTTTCTCGACACACAAAACCCAGATATTAACTCATTATAAGTACGCTCATTTGGATTGCATTTTTTCGTCTTCATCATGTCAAACACGTCTAAAGCAGCATCAACCATACCCTTCAAGCAATACCCATTAATCAAAGCATTATAGGTAACTACCGTAGGATCCATCCCACGATCTATCATTGCAAACAGCATTTCCTTCGCTTCATCAAGCATACTGGCTTTACACGAACTATCAATAATCACAGTGTAAGTGTGATTATTAGGCTCGCAACCCTTCACCTTCATCTCCTCAAACAAGCTCAAAGCCTCCAACCTCCTACCAGAGCTGCACAAAGCGTCAATTAGAATCGTGTAGGTTCTAACATTAGGTATGCAATTATCTTCTCCCATTAGTGAAAAATAACCCATCGCCTCATCCACCTTTCCGGCTTCACACAGGCCGTGCATCAAGTTATTATAAGTAACCTCATTCCTCCTACAACCCCTTTGCTGCATACTCAAGAAAACTTTCACTGCACTATCGACATCATTTCTCCTACAATGTCCTAAAACAAATGAAGTATAAGTATGTGTGTCCGGCTTCAAACGTGCCTGCAAAATCATACTCAAATAATACTCGGCCTCAGCCACACTACCCAGTTTACAATAAGCATTAATCATGGTATTAAATGTGTATATATTGGGGGAAACCTTATCATCCAGCATCTCCCTGTAAACAGATTTCATGTCACTGATCATCACAAATCGTGCCAGTGACATCAAAAGCATGTTATAAGACCTAAGGCTGAGTCTAAACCTTAAATCAGCATCATCGCCGCGGTTTAGCCCTCGCACAATAGCCAATGCTAAGCTCGCGTCATCCTCAGTCTCGCATGACTTCACCATTAATACCCTAATTTTCTCCGCGTTCCGAAATGATTTGTTCCTAACCAAAATTCGCAACAGAGAAGCATGGGCTTGGACGTTGGGTTTGAATGTGGGTATCAGGGAGAGAAAATTGAAGAAATTGAGGGCAATTTGTGGATTGAGATGGGGATGCTGAGCGAGGAATGAGGAGAATAGAGACGGAGATATGGCCGGGATCAATTTCCTCAAGGAAGGGTGCTTCTGCCAATTCGGTTCGGACAAAAGCGAGAAAAGCTGAGAGGAAACGTCGGCCGCCGGGAGATCCAATGGAGGAACGGTCTCCGATGCGACAGAATAGGGGAAGTGCTTGATTAATGAAGAAATGAGAAACAGCGAAGACTGGCACGCGGACAGCAATGGCGGCGGCGTGGCTGTGGCCGCTGATCGGATCATTGTGAAAGGGAATCGTGCGGCGGCGGCGCGGCGAAAGAGCCCATTCATGAAGAATAACCCTTTGTTGCAGAAGAATCAATCACGGATTCATGGATTGAGGAGGAGGAGCAATTGGAAATGGAGAAGGGTTTTCGTTTTCGTTGTATCCAAACCACCATCCTGAGATGGGGAAACCGGGTCGGGTCGGGTCGAGTCGAGTCGATGAATATGGGCCTCCGCCAGATGGGTTGAGGACTTGAGGGCAAAATCGAGGAAGTTGGGTAGCTATTTTTGAATTTATTATGACATATTTCCGCGTGCATTTGTATCATTTTAGGCTCAATAATTTACTTAGGGTGTGTTTGTTTGAAGGATTTTGGAGGATTTCCACTCTTCATTCAATTTTTTTTCCCCCAAAACATTAAATCAAACACCTATTTTTTATTTTTTATATTATACTAAAAATCAATTTTACATTCAAAACATCACATCAAACCCTATTTATATCACATCATACAACTATTCAAATTCAAAATTTTTACTATTCAAATCCCAATCCAAAATCCAAACCCCCAAACAAACACACCCTTAGTGGCCGTGGATTATGAGTTCAAATTGGTTCGGGTTTTACTTGTTATATATATATATATGGGATGTAAATTTTTTTTACAAAATATAAAATTAAATATAAATTTTTTAAGAAAAAAAAAATAATCTCATATATATTTTTTACTTACTTTTTAAAAAACTAAAAAAAAAAAACACTTGATGTAACTGAATTAAAATGACATAATGTAGATAAAATATGAGCGCATTTAAAAAGATGGGATCATATGAAAATTTGAACCAGGAAGGAAGTACATGACTGAGATGCTAAATAAGTTGATATACATAGAGTCAGGAATCATATATTTTTATCAAGTTGCAATAATCGGCGAACCCAATGGCGGCAGCTATTCTCTCCTTGACGTATTGGGGTGGGGGTAGAATATGATAACTGTGGTAATCAATCACTCTTCACTTCCACCATCATGAACCAACGTGACGTGAACTCAAGTGAAGCTCTTCAATGCCATCGCTGCTGTCGAGAATTTGATCACGTGTGGAAGCACAAGCATACGCATACCCTAGACTCCGACACCAAAATTCATTATTTTTTTATTTCAATTTTGAAAATTAGTATGTTTTAAAAAAATCAAAATAAAGCAATAAATACTACTCTCTTAGAAAAGAGTCATTATTATTTCCGAAAAGGACAGAGAGCAGAGGCATCAACTATCTACACATACACATGAAACTTCTTCCCACACTCTGCCTTCATTGCTACACATTCTCACAAAACTTCCTCACCAACTTCTTCTTCTTCATCTTCTTCTTCTTCTTCTTCCTTCTCTCCCACAGACATCACAAACATACATACATACAGACAGACATACATATAGCTAACCCTCAGTTCCAGACATGCCTTCCTACCCAATTACAGCTTAAGCGCCCTCATTGTCTTCCCAACCAGCGCCAAAACCGTCCCACAAATGTGCCGTGCTGACAGCCCCGCTGCTTCAAGCTGATCGGCTGGAGCGCCGTGGTCGATGTACCGGTCCGGCAGCACCATAGAGCGCAACTGCATTTCAATTAGGAGCGCGCTATTAGAACGATAATTAAGACAGTGTCGATAAAAGTGCGGCAAAATTTATGGTTTCGATACCTTGAGGGGTCCGTCCAAAAGGCCATTTAGAGTGAGGAAATGCGCGACGTGCGATCCAAAGCCTCCCACGGAGCCTTCCTCGACTGTGATCAGCACCTCGTGTTCTTTGGCGAGTCGTCTGATTAAATCCGTGTCCAATGGCTTGCAGAATCGCGCATCGACGACAGTCGTCGACATGTCATAGGATTTCAGCATTTCCGCAGCTCCCAAACACTCCTGAATGATCGAACCATATCCAAGAAGCGCGACTCGAGTGCCTTCAAGTAGCACTCGTCCCTTCCCAATCTGTTCGACAACGTACACAAACAAATACATGAGTTCAAATGTTGATGTTAATTTGTGAATCAAGTAGAGTTTCCAAAGCTACCTCGAGCGGAGTTCCTTTATAGTTCGGTGGAAGAGCGACGCCAACACCGTTTCCGCGAGGGAACCGGAAGCAGGAAGGGCGATCGTCGATGGTTGCAGCAGTCGCAACCATGTGCATCAGCTCCGCTTCGTCTGCCGGAGCCATGACCACCATGTTCGGCAAACATGCCATATATGCAACGTCGAATGCTCCACAGTGAGTCGGGCCATCAGCCCCGACCAAACCAGCTCGATCCATTGCGAAGCGGACAGGCAGCTTCTGAAGATCCACATCATGAACAACCTGATCGTAGCCTCGTTGCAGGAACGACGAATAGATCGCGCAGAACGGCTTGAGGCCCTCAGTGGCCAATCCAGCAGCAAACGTCACACCATGCTGCTCAGCAATGCCCACATCAAAGCAGCGCTCAGGGAATCGTTTCTGGAAATAGTTCAGACCAGTGCCTCCACCCATCGCAGCGTGAATCGCCACGATCTTTGGATCCTCCTCGGCTTCTTTAATGAGAGCTTCGGCGAAGTACTGAGTGTACGACAGCGTCGGGGACTTGGTCTTAAACTGGCCTCCCGTAGCCGGATCGAACTTGACAACACCTGTAAGAAAATGAAGAACTCGCATTTAGTCCTAAAAATACTTGGCTGAATCTCGCAAACATTTTTTCGAACAGAATCATGTGTTTAAAATACCATGCATTTTGTCGGCTGCTGCCTCGGCGGGAGGATATCCCTTCCCCTTCTCGGTTATTATATGAATCAGAACTGGCCCCGGCGCGGGCATAGCTTTAACTTTCTCGAAAATATTGATCAAATCGGTGATATTATGTCCATCCACCGGACCAATGTAATACAATCCGAGCTCCTCGAACAGTGTCGAACCCTGACCGCTAATCATCCCTCTCGCATATTCGTCGACCTTAGCAGCAACTTCGTGTGCCTGTGGACCGATCTGCTTCGTGATGCTCTGTCGAAAGATAATTAACAAAACTGTTACGATATCATCTCAAAACTTCAATAGTTTGATAATTTAAGGTTCGAGCACCTACTTTTGCAGCTTCCCGGAGCTGTCTGAACTTCGTGCTCGCTTGGAGCTTAGTCAAGGCACTGCTGAGGGCGCCAACGGGTTTGGCAGGGCCATCGAGCGTTGCTGTGGGCAACGAAACCTGTCTGTTGTCGTTCAAGATGACGATTAGGTTAGTATCCAAGAACCCCGCGTTGTTCATCGCCTCATACGCCTGTCCAGCTGTCATCGCACCATCTCCGATCACGGATACAACATTGTTGTTCTTCCCCAGTATATCCCTCGCCACCGCCATCCCTATGCGCAAGAAAATTCAAATTTGAATCCAAATTTTCGCCAAATAGTTAAGACAAACACAAACGAAACAGAATCGCTAAATTAAAAACACACCAAGTCCAGCAGATATGCTCGTCGAGCTATGACCAGCACCAAAAGCATCAAACACACTCTCATCCCTTTTCGGGAAGCCAGCCAGCCCCGATGTCTTCCTAAGTGTATGCATCTTCGATCGTCTCCCAGTCAAGATTTTGTGCCCGTAGGTCTGCAAGATTATTACCTCCACACTCAAAACCGAATCATACTTACATGAACATACATACAACACAACAACACCATGTATGAATCATAATCAAAAACCAATCCAAAATCGACCAACAATCATGCTTATACATACATACATACATACATACATACATACGAGACAACACCACCATGTATGAATCATAATCCAAATCTAAATCCAAAATCCTTACCTGATGGCCAACATCCCAAATGATCTTATCCTCAGGGCAATTGAAGACATGATGAAGAGCAACGGTTAACTCCACCACGCCCAAGCTCGAGCTCAAATGGCCGCCCGTTTTCGAAACAGAGTACACAATTTCTGCTCGGAGCTCCGCTGCTAACTGCTCCAGTTCCTGAAAGATCGAACAACAAATACTTCAGCACTAAGGTTTTCGTATTTTTTTCGGAAATTCCATTGAAGCATTTCGTCAGTAACCTTGCGTGCATAAATAAGAACATTGAAATCGATCGAACGAACCTTGAGTGACAAATTCTTCATATGGATTGGATAGTTGATCGTATCCAGCAAAGTCGTCGGCGGTTTGTCCTTGGAGAAATCAATCTTCCATCCATCCTTGTCCTTCCAAATCCCTTCCTTCTCGCTCCGAATCACCACGCCTCCGCCCTCCGCCTCTGAATTACCAGCATTCGCCTTCACGAAAAACTACACCAATCCCCACAAAAACCCCAATCAATTTCGCATCAAAAACAAAATTAATAATAATAACAGCTAGGTCAATTCAATTCACGGAAACATTCCATTACAATCGATGAACGCAAACAAACCTGCTTCTTCCCTCCACAATTAAGCTTGGCTGTGCGAAGGAACGACGCTGTAGGTTGATTAACCCTGGTGAAGACTCCAGAAGCAGCTGCTGCCATTTTTTACGGATCGGCAGAGACGATGGAGGAGCGTTCGACGAGATGGGCTGATAATGGCCGCAGAGACAAAATTTATAATCAGCCGGCGGGAGCAGAATGATTCCATTAATAAATAAATAGGTAAAAAAATGGTTACTCTCATTTCCCATGATTTTTGTCGGCACTCGACGCCATGACCGACCCCTCCCAATAGCTTTCTTCTCTGTACTGCCGCTGCTACAGAATTCAATTTTTATTTTATTATTATTATATTTTTTACAAGTTCCAGATTATTATTTTTTAAATATGTAAATTGGTATTTATTGCAGTTTACATACCCACCTACCCTACCAATATCACGTACCATATATTTATAACATATTTTCAAATAGCTATATTCCAACCTAATTAATTAAAAAAAATTATAACATATTTATTTATAACATATTTACTGAAAATATATTAGTATTTTTATTTTTTATTCTAAATAATTAAAAAATAATAATCTAATTTTATTTATCTTTTTAAAAATTCGGTCAAATGAAGTTATAGTTAGACAACGAAAAGAGTAATTATTTTATCATATATTTAAATCAAAACAACACCTAATATGTATGTATATTTGTAAGTAGCGTTTCGGATATTGTGTATGAATTATTTATTTAATTTTCTGTATTTTGTATATAGATTTAATAAAAGAATATCTGCATAGTTTAAGTTTGACCTACTCGGAACATAACATGGTTTAATAAAATTTTAAAATTAATAACATAATCTGAAACTAACATTTGTTACATATAAAATTAGTTTAAAGAAAATCACTGTGGTAGGTGGTAGAGTTTTGGATTTTAAATATAGAATTTTTTTTAATTAAAATATAATTATTTGATATAATAAATAAATATTAATTTGATATTTTCAATATAAAATTATTTTTTAATTGGTATAGTATACAGAATTAAAATAGACATTTAATTTAAAATATATTTCGTACAAAAAAATAATTATAAGCAGCAAAAACATGATGAAAAAATTACAAGCTAATGTGTTGGTATTTTGTTTTTATTATTATTTTTTTTGTAGAATAATTGTTAGATAGGAGTATAATATTTTGTATTGAAAATAGCTTTTTGGGTTAATCTAAAAAAGAAATATATGTTGAATTGAATTATTGATTTTATATATATATATATATATAAATCAATAGAATATATATTATGGAGTATAAAAATTATGAGTGTGTATATATAATAATATTATTTTTAATAATATTAATTAGATAATATTATCAAAAAAAAAAAAAAGAATGAATACACCCCATTTATATTTCAAAAATTATACTCTATTTAAATGCTATTGTATTAAATATCGGTCATTGGTGCATTTCAACATTATGGGTGTATGTATTTTTATTTTTTAGTATAATGTTTTAAATGAAACATCGGTATTTGATAATGTTATTGTAATATATCATATAAATGGATTACTATATTTTTTTATATAATTTAAATGAAATACTTATTATTATATATAAAAAAAAAAAAATCAAAAAATAACAAGAATAGCATATGTGCTTTGGCTTACTTACGAAAAATGGTATATTAATATTTGTTATGCTGTTTAAGTTTGACTAATAGAGTGTTGTAAATAACTTTTTAGTTCAAAAGTGTTCTATCGTGGATGCTATATTAATAATATGTTATTCGAAAAATAATATTCTTTTCTATTTTTATATTAATCTTTACTATTTAGATTTTGAGTGTGTTACTAAAATATATAAAAAATTTCAACATATGTATTATATCCACTCAAATATTATTTTTATTACATTAGACATACTTTAAATATAATATAAAAATTAAAGTTCAATATTTAATTTGATAGAAATTTTTCATAATAGTAAAATCCAATACCTAACGTAGAAACAAACTGAACTAAGTCTTGGTCAAAGTTGTCAATTGGGAAATATAGGTTATTAATGCATCTTCTATTATACTAATACATATACAAGTCTAGATTCGGTGTTATAATTTTTCTTGCCCTTTTTTTTTTTAAACCAGCTTGCCTTTTTTGATTTTTTTTAAATTTTATTTTTTATGGTAAAGTATATAATTTATGGTGCAATTTATTCATTTCTATATTAACTTCAATGTCTTTATCGTTTATATTGACTGTTTTAATTACTCATTGTCAAATTAATTCTATTTTGATTATTAATTATTGACATTGTTGAAATTTTAATGTATAAAATAATTGTTATTTCTATTTCTTATTAATTACACTAAGACCATTTGTATCAAAGAAATATGTTGGCTTCCACTTCATATATATTATTTTATAAAATATAGATAAGGACAAGTAATATTTTTTTCATCTGAATTTATTATTATCTTTTTATCCCTCTAGTAAAATTACCTTATTATTAGTTTTCAAAATCTAAAATTTATCCATTTAGTTATTATCCTTTCCTTATCAATTATTTACACCAATTATTACGTTATTAACAAATATTATTCTCTTAATTCATACATACCAATAATTAATTACAATCAACAAATTATTAATTAAAAATTATCTCAAAATATGTTCGATAAGAAAGGATCTTATGGTATATGGTGAATTTATGATCACGAGGTCATGAGTTTCTGATGCTTCCGTATCTTATTTATCACACATGATTCCTCTAATATGACTTACTAACTTGGACATACATCGGTGAAGATGACTTGTTTGTTTTGGACAAAAAAGGCGCATCTTTCGATGATGTGCCTAAAAAGTTTTGAATTTTACAAAAAAGAGTGCATAATGAACAATTATACACACCACTTGATTTAATACACGATCAACATAAATTTTATTACAAGAGGAAGATCTACAAATTCTAGTGGTCTTTTCTATGCATATCGAGTGCTACAATTACTTGACAACAGACTCTCTTTTATCTGAAACATACCATATGTGCAATTTTTTAAAATTAAGGTGATCCACATAGTGCATCGGTCTATTCATGATTTCAACTTTGTCATATATATCCAACTGAGGAAACAATTTTGACATTATTTTCTTTGTTTGTTAACTTTCTTCACAATATTTAGGCAGATAAAATCATTATACTTTTGGATATCTTCTTTCTTCTTATTCAATCAAATATCTCAATTATAAAAAAGTGTCAAACGAGTATAAAATAGTTATTGAAAAACTTATTAATGTAGTTGACTAAAAATCACATTTACTCCTTATAGGAAAATTAGATCTCGTCCATTGATGCTCAGAAATATCATATAACCACTCGAATGTATTTTTGGATTCATTGACTTTGGAAATATATTATACTATTTCTTATACCATTCGCTTGTACTTATTTTTATTGTAGGTTGCGGTAGCCTTCCAAAATAGTCTTTTTAATTTCAAATTCTTAAACTTAGATATGAAATTATTGTACATAAAACACAAGGGAAATTGATTCACCACATTAGATCAATTTTTTTGTAAAATTTTCTTCTTTTATATTGTAAAAATACAATAAATTTTTAATATAAAATTATATAAGATGCTTAATAGATACTATTTACAAAACTATGAATAACTTCATATATTCGCAAATCAAATAATGATTTCAAATATAATATTATATGACTCAACAAATTAACAAATAACTAAATAAATTGACATAACCAATAATTCAGTTGAATATAATATAAGATAATCACTATTGCAACACTTACCAAATAATTAGACATACTACAACAAAAACAAATAAATTTGACAGCAACTAAACAAATTCTTTTGTATCTAGAAACAAACAATGAAATAAATATTGGCAACAACACAAAAACTAGCAATTCTAAATTTTCTTCTTTACTTGTAATGTTAATTAGCAATTAATGAACACTACAATAAAAACAAATAAACGAATATGACAACAACTAAATAAATTACGATGTGTGTTAAAAACAACCAATCAAATAAATTTGGACATTAGTAGACAAGACCGTGGCAATAGGCTGTAGCACCAGCACGACATGCAACCGTCTGCATCGTTATTTTTTTTTTTTTTATAAATTAATTAGACTTAACCTAATTAACTAATTTTAGATTTAATCTGTGGGTAGGCTATAATTTGACTCGATTTCAAGTTAAATAACAATATATTTTTATATTGGCTTGAATTGGTAAATTTTCAAAAAATAAATTTGATTGTTGTTTCCTTCAATATTTGTTTTTAATAAAAAAATATGGTGTATTTTTTAAAATAATAAAAAAATATTTACAATTTTAAGTAATAATAAAAAAATTTAAATTTTTTCAAACAGTTAAAGAGTATAATAAAATATTAAAAATGTCAAAACATAAATATCAAAAAACTCTACGTTCAAATATACATCAATATTCACATCCAAGTTAATAATGCATCTTAAGTAACTATAATTCAAAATTGTTATAGCTATTGAATATTTTAATATTGTATTTTACCAAATTTTAAATTCTACAATTTTATTAGAATTGGCATAAATTATATTAGCATATTTATTTCAATTTAAAAAAATTGTTTTAACTGTATGATAGTATTACTCCTCCGTCTCATTTACTATGTATATCTTTCCATTTCTGTCTATCAAACTTATTCCGTCACTTTCATATTTTAAAAAAAAATTATATACTTTAATCTCATTTTAAATTTTTAGTTTAGTTAGACCAATAGTTATCTTAATCTAAATATAAAATTATTTTTATTACACGATAATTATTTTAACTAATATATTCTTAATTATTTACTAATTATACATCTCCTAAATTTTCGTATCTACAATAAATAAGACATGATAGCAGGGACGAATGAAGTATTATCTAGTGTTGGTTGTTTGTGTATACGAAGTTGTTAAAAATGAATAGATTATTTGTAGATTTTAATAATGTATAAAAAGTTGTTGAACACGCTTATTGAGGACATATTATTGGTTTCATTGTAATACTATTGAACACGTATAAATATAATATGTTGATATTGATGATAATAAATATTTATTGTATCTATCTATTTCATTTTTATTTCACAACATTGTAACTTGTGTGAAATAATTGAATGCTATAATATTGATTTTACAAATGTGAAATTGCTGAATAATAATTATAAATTCATAAGTTTGCTTATTATTTTGTTTATCTTATTTTTTTTGTTTAGTATTATTGTTATGAAATATTAATAATGTTATTATATACTACAATATGATTCATTGAACTTTTATAACACATTTATTTAATTAGGATGAGT